TGTGAAGTTTGCATGTTCTCCCCATGTTCGCAATCCGAGTGCTTCGGTTTTCCTTACAGTGCAAAGAAATGTACAGATGAGTTGAATAAGCTAAATTGCTTGTAGCGTATATGTAAATGCAATAGTGTATGGGTGTTTCATTCATTCCAATTTGGTGGTTCATTCATTCCAATATTTTTTTTTTATAGAAAATGTGTGAAAATGAACAGATTTTTTCACAATTGTTTTCCATGAATTAAATAAAATTATGTTCTGTCATAAATGTTAACCTGGACCACAAAAGTAGTTATATGGGTACATTTTCTGAAATTGATATTGATATCAATCAATTGAAATTGATATCTGAAAAAAAAAGCTTGGAATGGATTGTTATATATATATATATATATATATATAACATATATATATATATATATATATATATATATATATATATATATATATATATTTAGCAATATTATTTTATGTATGGATATATATATATATATATATATATATATATATATATATATATATATATATATATATATATTTAGAGAGAGAGAGAGAGAGACCAAGGAATATCCCACAGTATTTTCTGGTATTTCTCCATTTCTTCTAGAGAAAATGTTGCATTTCGGGGAAAAAAAAACAAACATTTTAAGCCAAATATTATTATCCCCCTAAGCAATGTTTATGTCGTAATGATTTGCCTAATTACCCTAACTTCACCTAACCTAACTTAACTAATTAACCTAGTTAAGCCTTTAAATTGGACTTTGAGCCGAATACTTCAAAATATCTAGTGAAATATTATGTGCTGTCATCATGGCAAATATTAAAGAAAATTTCAATTTTTTACCAGAAACGCGTAGTGACTTTGCCACTATTGTGCAAAAAATATGGCTCAAAATCCTTTTGACCACTGTACAGGACTTGTATCTGTCATTCTTAAGATAAACTGATGCTGTATTGACCACAAAAGAAAGCCCTACACCATAATAATAAGTTATTGTGGAGTTTCAGTTTCATTATCCGACCCAAGTGATGTTTCAAGTGATGATTAGAAAAAGTTTTTGTCTTTCCTATTATATTTTTCTTCTGGAGACTTTATTTTAGTTTGGCTGTATATTTATAAGCAGATGAAGTCAGAATTATTAGCCCTCTTTAGAATTTTTTTAAAAATATTTTGGCTAGAATAAAAGCATTTTTTTTTATTAGAAAAATTTTAAATATTAGACTCTTTAAGCTATTTTTTTCATCATGGCAAAGATAAAATAAATAAGTTATTAAAAATGAGTTATTAAAACTATTATGTTTAGAAATATGTTTAAAAAAAACTCTTCTCTCCATTAAACAGAAATTGGAGAAGAAAAAAAAACAATGAATTGTCTAATGACTTGCCTAATTAGCCCAACTTGTCTAGTTAAACTAATTATTCTAGATAAGCACTAAACATGGACTTTAAGCTGAATATGAGTAAATAAATCTTACAAATAAAATATTATGTACAGTCATTGTGGCAAAAAAATGAAATTAGTTATTAAAACTATTATGTTTAAAAAATAATAATAATCAAAAATGCATTTAAATTCACATTAGGGCTAAAAAAAAATTGCCTTCAAGTGTATATGCACCCTATTAAAATGCACTCTGAACGCTTTATTTAAAGACAAAGCCATACTACTTTCTCAAACAAATTAAGAAAATTATATAAACAACACCACACCCTGAAATAAAGGGACCTGCACACACATTAAAAGCAAAAAGCAAACAGAGCTAAGAAACTGATCTGATGGTGGACAGACCATGACCTTGATGTGACGACACACTCGGGTTTAGACGATAATCAATAACAGCCTTTGCTTAACAACACATTTCTGCTGTGTGGCTGTTGGATCCCAGAGTGCTGCACAGAGGCCAGAATTTGAAAAACAAGCGCTGCTGCTATACATAATGATTTTCCACATAAATCTACACTGTGTGGAACGATAACCATTTTTAAGGTATACCACCGCGGTTCGGAAAAGTCAAGGTTTTAAAACCGCCAAAATTTTGTGTAATACAGGACAACAGTATCTCCTGCATAAAAATGCTGATCATGTTTTAAATTGTAAAGAAATCAGTGTTTTTGAAACTAATGAAGACCGCAGTAGTCAATGATTAATTTGAATTATTCAGCCTGACATGTTTACTGCTCCAAAATATTATAAATCTTTCAAAAAATTTAATATATTATTTTCATTTTTTTTTTTTACCCAGACATTTAAAAATAAGTTATTTTAGAACAGTAATCACAATACTGTGATACCATGAAACTGTGATATTTTTATCCAAGGTTATTATACCGTCAGAATCTTATACCGGCCCATGCCTAGTGTGTATACACATACACACATACAAAGAGGGGGAATAAGTATTCAACACAACAGCATTTTTTTCAGAGAACATATTTCTAAAGGTCCTACTGAATTAAAATTTTCACCCGATGTTGATAACAACCAAAGAAAATTCATTCTTCATCTTCATATATCTTTATTATTATTTTTTTTAATTATATAAAATATTAAATACATTTCTGCAGTTCTGTACTTGCTCATTTTGCTATTCCATTGTTATTACACACAACATTTTTTTTTATATTTTTTTGTTTTGTTATGTTTTTTTTAATATTGTTAGGGCTTTTACCAAAATCTGGTTCAATTCCATGTCAACAGGTCATTTAGAAATTTTATTCCCAGGAAAAAGCATGACATGTTGGATACTTTCCCCCCACTGTATTTAATAGCCACGGAAAAAAGAAAAAATTTGAGTGTAAAAATCTTCTTTCAGTGGGTTTCGTCTATTCAAACAGATCTTTATTTTGTATTTTGTAATAGATTCAAGTCAGGTAATTGGCCAGGCCATTCTACAGCTTACTTTTCTTTTCTGAAACCATTTGCTAGTTTCCTGGGATGTGTTTTGAAACATTGTCGTGCTGAAATGTGCACCCTGGTTTCATCTTCATCATCCTACTTACTACATCCTATTTCAGCTGCTGTCTGGGCCTTCACTGCCTTTCTACACCTCCCTTTTTTCATGTGTTCAACTTTTTCCTGTGTAATTTTTTTTTTCTATGCATTTTATACACTTAACTTGTGAACTAATTAGATTTGTTTATTTTCATATACAGTTAAAGTCTTTTAAATTATTAGCCCCCCTGAATTATTAGACCGCTTGTTTATTTTTTCCCCAATTTCTGTTCAACTAAAAGCTATTTTTTTTAACACATTTCTAAACATAATAGTTTTAATAAATCATTTCTAATAAGGGATTTATTTTATCTTTTTCATGGTGACAGTACATAATATTTGACTAGATATTTTTCAAGACATTTCTGTACAGCTTAAAGTGACATTTAAAGGCTTAACTAGGTTAATTAGGTTAGGCAGGTTAGGATAATTAGGCAAGTTATTGTATAAAGATGGTTTGTTCTGTTATTAGTTAGATCTCTCATTAGTTAGAGCAGTTTGAAGATTTAATTAGCAACTTATAGCACAGTTTTAGTTGACAAATTGTTGGTGTGCATCTCACTGGCGCATCTCTGACCAAGGACAGCAAGTCTCAGTGATGTTTCAAGAGCTATGGTATCCAGGGTAATGTCAGTATACCACCAAGAGCGATGAACCACATCCAACAGGAGTAACTGTGCATTCAAAAAAAAAAAAAAAAAAAATGCTGTCTGTGAGGGATGTTAACCCAGATTGTATCCAAAAGACACAAAACCAGAGCTGCCTGACCCACTGCAGAATTAAATGTGCAATTCAACTCTCCCTGTTTCCACCAAAACTGTTTATTAAGGAGCTCCACAGGGTCAATATACATTGCTGCACTGCTATAGGCAAACCTTTGGTCACTTGTGCCAATCCCAAAAGTGCCAGCAGTGCAAATCTTAGCCTGTGGACAATGTAAATCATGTTTTGTTCTCCAGTTCACCATCACTGTCTTTCCTGCCTTTAGTTTTAAAAATGACAATAATTATGTTTTTTTCGGCTGTACAGTGATCCTAGGTAGGGACTTTTTAATGTATTTTCAATTGATTCTTGGTCTAAATGTTTATTGCAATTGTTATTTTCACTGTATGTTAAATGTATGAGTCTTTGAAATACATAAATTGGAAATAGTTTGTCACAGTGACCTACAGTAATCAGAATTCAGGAAGTAGATTCTGTCATGACAAGCAAATAACTCATTTTAGCTACGCACTTTTATTTATTTGTTTATTTATTTATTATTATTATTATTATTATTATTATTATTATTATTGTTGTTGTTGTTGTTGTTGTTGTTGTTTAAATCGCCAGCCAGTCTTATGATTATTTATAGTTTTGTATAATGAAAATGTGATTAAAAATGTATTATTTATTTGTACAAAAATTTGTCAATAAAGGTCTCATAATTTTATTTCAGATAAAACAATACATTCAGATGGTACAATACAAAGAAATATTCTACTTAAGAAAAAATCTGTTTTGCTGAATAACCTAGATAATTTCTACATTAAAAGTTGTTATGTGAAATTAATAATAAATTAAATTTTGCCTCAATCTAAACGTGTTCAAAATTGACGTTAGATTTTAGAATAAAATATAAAAAACTAGGCTTATAAGCCAAATCCCGTGTTTTCCCTAAAACAAGCTTATTTAGCAGTCTATTTCACAACAACCACAAAACAACTTTCAGTCAGTCCGGGTGGAGAACCAGCTCTCCAGCAATTCACACCCCTCTCAAACTGCAGATTTCAATGCAGATTTTAATCTACTGAAATAGCAAATCAGCCCCATAAAAATCATCTATTTATGCCTTTCGAAATAGCGAAACAAGAATAAAAAGCCCTTTAACGTCTTCTGCGTCTTCATAATGCGGTATTGCGGCACGATAGCAGAATACTGAAATTTGCTTGCGTGACTCAGCTGAATAAGAGAATAACATTTGGAAATCTTACACTGACCCTCGAGAACCAAAGTCCTTTGTGTCCTTACCTCTCATTCCCTGACATAAAAGTCCCAACTTTGGGATCCTATTGGCAATTGTACTCCTCTCGACATCTCCGCATGTTTTCAGTGTGGATAGTTTTAAAATTCTGCTTCAAAAACACCGGACGTTCACCTCAAAGTTTGGCAAGTGTGTTTCTGTTGTTTCGCTTTGAGCAGGCCTATCCGGTTGGGGGTTATTGATACATATTCCGAAAAGAGTCCCGCAACAGAACCCTTGTTAAAGGCCAGTGAGTGGAGCGAGAGAGGAGGCTGATGGAGGGAGGAGAATCGAGCTGCACATTCACCGCCTGGTTTAACCCTTTATGCACCGAAAAGAGACATACGAGCCTGACACTGGCAGGCCACATTGAGAAAACAAATCCCTGACACCCTGAATGCGCCGATTTATCAATTGTCTCTGTACAGAAATGTGCTCTTAAAGCAATAGTTCGCCCCAAAATGGGCTGTTCCAAAAATGATTATTTGCAGTTAATTTAGTCACCCTCAGGGCACTGGAGAGGTGTTTTTCTAATCTTCATTGGATCATTAAAGACGAATTTAGCTTAACCTATAGTCATTTGTGATTCATATATTGCAAGTCAAAGGTCACCCGTTTTTTATATTAACGTCAAGGGGAAATTAATTTTTACAACGTTCCTTTTGCTGAAACACATTTTGCCAGGACCAAGGATTAAAGCTAATATTTTATATAGGCCTAGTGTATATTGCACAAACTGATTGTGTTGCTTCATAAAACCGTATAGTCAGGATACACTGGGACTGATTCGGACTTGGTTGGACTTGTTAATTTTTAATCTCAAAAATGGGTGGCCATTGATTGCCATTATACAAATCACAAAGGAAGATAGATTCAGTAAAAATACTTCTGTAATTTTCTAGAGAAGAAAAAAAATATTCATGGTCTAAAGGTAAGTAAATTCTCAAGTAAAACTCAAATTGATTTAATATAAATAAATAAATAAATAATTCACTTTCTAAAGTCAATCTGAGCTCTCCAATATCATTTAGCTAAAATATCTAATATGTAAATAAATGGTCAATATGTAAATCAAAGCAATGCATTTTTATTTGTCTGTGCAAGGAATTCAATTTTATTTAACATTGCATTATATAAGACCAATTTTGTTCCATAATCCATAATACGGATTTGGGAAGATTAAAAAATAACAATAAAGGAGTAAATCATATTTGTCAGGATTATATTTTATTTAGGGATAGCTTTATGTTCCACATTCCTGCACATGTCAAATTATGAGACAAAAAGAATTAGGTAATATTACCAAAATTAGTACTTTACATAAGCTGATGATTTGTGTACAAATCAAAAAACAACTATAGCATGAGTCAAATCAATTCATGTGAATAAAGACCATCTACATGTTAGTTGATCAATTAACAAATTCACATTCACCTTTGTAAGATGGTGTGAGACTTATTTCAAAAACATGTAAATATTTAAATATATTACATTCAAAGTCCAAAGATATTTTTGTTAGATAATAGTTTCTCTAATATATGAAAAGCATGTTATTTAGATAAAAGTACAACAGATAAAAGACACCAGATTTTGTGTGTGTGTGTGTGTGTGTGTGTGTGTGTGTGTGTGTGTGTGTGTGTGTGTGTGTGTGTGTGTGTGTGTGTGTGTGTGTGTGTGTGTGTGTGTGTGTGTGTTCTAGGTTATGAAATTGTCTAATGGAAATGAGAGAGCAGCTGCTAATACAGGTGGTGAAGATGAGCAGTGTTAAATTACTCATGAATCTTCCCACTTGGCCAAACGTTTATTCTCATGATTTATGCAGTATTTTCTGGAGAGGGTAATATGTGATGGAACATCACCACTGATTTTTTTTTTTTTTTTTTAAAGTGTCTTTTTTTTCTTTCTTTTGTCTTTATATGCAATTTTAGCACCAAAGCGACAACAAACTGCATTGCAAAAAAACTAAACTACCAATATCATTCAAATTAAAGTATACAAAATAAAATGATTTGGGTAATTATTGACTGGAAAAATATTATGCTATTGTTTTTTTTTTTTTTTTTTGTTTTTTTGGATAAATTGTTTTGACAAGGTTGTATCGTGTAAAATATATGTAAAATATAACAAATGTTTTGTTGTCAAAAAATATGTAAAAGCAACATAAATACATTTATATTTTAGGGTGTGAGATACTGTTTGATTATAGCGTTTGAAACTGTATAAAATCTATAGAAATGAATGGAATGTCACCTTATAGCCAAGGAAATATGTGTTTCGTTCAATGGGATTTACAAAGCAAAACAAAAATCTATCATACATGCTTTTGGTTATGAATTGTGAGGAGGAAAATGACAATTAAAGAGAATTCCTCTTGAGGGCTTCCTTGTGACAAATGCTTTGGCTAAGCAAGAGTTTCTGGAAATACCAGATCCACTCTTGACAAACTGATACTCTCCTTCTTCTAGTGAATAAACAAAGACGCTGTGAACAGCTGAGAGAAAGGAAATCAAAGCACTTCAACAGTGTTAAATCCTGAAGGTGCCATGTTTAACACTTTCCACGTCATACTTTACCACCAAATAGAAAACTTCTTTATAAAAAAAATCATTAGAGAGGCTCGAATGATTATTGGTTATTATGTGTTATTCTTAAAATACAGTTGCCTGAGGTCATTGCTATCCCTTAAAATAGAGACTAGTTTAGGTATATAAGTAGGGGTATTGTACATCCAGCAAGTTGTTCTCACAGAATAAAGCCAGGCAGGTTTATCAGCAGCTGTTGAATAAACGTATTGTTATTTTATGTGTTATTCTTAAAATACAGTTGCCAGGGGTCACTACTATCCCTTAAAATAGACTCTTCTTTAGGTATACAAGTAGGGGTATTGCACATCCAGCAAGTTGTTCTCTGCAGCTTTTGAATAAATGGCTTCATTTGATAAAACAACCAGCTGGATGTACATTATCCCACATAAAACACAGCTACTAGATACAAAACTACTATTAGACACAAAACATGCTCGGAGCTGTAATAATTTACTAACGTTTAATTAAATGTTAAGCTTACAGAGAGAAAATTTGGGTGTAACAAATGTCTGTTCGATACTGGCAAATGTTTAATGTGCATTTGTAGTACCAGTCAGTTACCACAGTAAGGAGTTATTGAGCTAGATCACATGATAGTGGCAAGTGAACAAAGTACATCCATATTTCATTAAAAATATGCACACATTGACAATATTGGAAAGGATTTTCAGAGATCTCAAGTAGGGGTGTAAATATATATAATGTTTAAGTATGGAGTTATTTTGTTTGGCAATACTGTATTGATTCCCAAAAATGCAATGTCAATATTTAAAAAATTATACAATTTACAATGGTTGTTTAATTTAAATTTATTATTGCCCAAATTCCTTTTGCTCATGAGAAGTTTTTTTTTTTTTTTTTTTTGTCAGTCAGGCTGTTTTTCACTTGTAAGATCGCATTTGGACATAATGTCAAATGGTTACAGGCACAGCGTATCTGCAGGTTTCTTAAAGTTATATTTAAGATTTTTTAATACCACACAGAATTAAATTTAAAATCAATTTCATAGTAAAGTATATGAAAAAAAAAAAAACACAGCACAAGCAGGCAGGTCCGTGTACGTTGCGTTCATTCGATTTTTGATCTTAAACGAAATTTAAAAAAATTGCATCTGGTTTAAATCTTAATTTAAATAAATGTGAATTACTTCCCATTAAAAATTGTGGTGTTTCCTCAATTTGTGGAGTAGCTGTTAAAAACTCAGTATCTTACCTTGGCATAAATATAACTAACGATAAAAATAGATGTGATGCTAACTTTAATCCAATTGTTGCAAAAACTAAAAGAAAATTGAATAGTTGGCTTCAAAGAGATCTGTCTATTAAAGGAAGAATTTTGCTCACCAAAGCAGAGGGCCTGTCTCGTCTTTCTTATGCAGCTCAATCTCTGTACGTAGATAAGCCTACATGCAAACTAATTGATAAAACTTTAACAGACTTTGTCTGGAAAAATAAATGCCACTATATGAAAAAGACTGTTATAATAAATTCGTATAATAAAGGAGGTCTTAACTGTATTGATTTCTGCTCTTCAAATTATACTTTCAAAATTAATTGGCTTAACCAGTATCTACATAAAGAAGACTCAATTTGGAATATTTTCCCAAAACACGTATTTTCTATTGTTGGAGGCATTAAGTTTTTATTGATGTGTAATTATAACATAACCAAAATTCCTGTTAAACTTTCAAATTTCCATCAACAAGTACTTCTGGCCTGGACTTTAATTTATAAACATAATTTTACTCCTCACACATTTTCTATTTGGAATAACCAAAATATTTTATATAAAAATAAATCTTTGTTTTTCAGTGATTGGTTTAACAACGGTTTGCTTTTAGTTAGTCAGTTATTTAACAACAGAGGTTTTTTAATGAATTACTTTGAATTTATTTCCGAGTATAACATACCAGTAAGTCCAAAAAATTTCGCCATTGTTATGGGAGCTATAACATCAGGAATTACTATGCTCTTCAAAAGTACCATTCATCTCACTCCTAAAAAAGTGTACCTTTCTGATCCGACAGAAACATTTGTGGGTAGAATTTGTTTTTCAAACAAAAAAGATAGAAATTACAAAATTAGATCTCTTTTTATTGAAAAAGTTGCTACATTGTCCCCTGTAATCTCTTATTGGAATAATATCTATAGAGATTTGATATGGGAAAAAATATGGTCTTTGCAACAAAAATATTTTCTCACCAACAAGGTCAAAGAGGTGTCTTTTAAATTGATCAACAAATTTTATCCTATAAAACAATTTTTGAAAAAGTTTAATTCTAATATTGATGTAAAATGTTCATTTTGTCAATTTCATACTGAAACTGTTATTCATTTATTTTGGGAGTGTAATTATGCTGTACAATTTTGGAAACATATTGGATTATTTATTAATGATAATATACAACAAGGTGTTTCTGTTACTTTTAAAGAAATTGTTTTTGGTTATTATGAATCTGCCCCTACTAAGAGAAATGCTTGTTTTGTTATAAATTTATTTATTTTCTTTGTAAATTCCATATCCACAAATGCAAATTTACTAATACTAAACCATATTTTCCTGTGTTTTTGCAAGAATTTAGTCATTATATACAATTAATTTCATTATCTAAAAATAAGAAAGCAAACAGAACTATTTCATTTTGTAATGACTTTAATTTATGTACTGTTCTTGATTCTTAAATGTCTTACCCTCAAGTTTATATCATGTTC